GATCTTCACGGTCTGTTGTTCTACGGCGGCGTCCAGTGCCCCTTGCTCTTTGCGTACGGCCTTCTCGAAGCCATGCCTGACAACACCTAACCACAGTGTCTACACTTCTTTGCACTCTAACTGCAATTGCCCGAAAAGAAGGTCCAGCTTCCCGAAGTCCCACTATACGGCCCCTATCAAACTCACTAAGTTTACGAAATCGTACAGGTCTCCGTACTCTAGGCATCGCAACCGATCGTAAAGGATGTCAAGAACCAAAATCCGCCAACGTTGATTCTTTACTGCGGCTGAAATATTCATTTTTAGAGCGTTAGTGAATTAAAAAAAAGCAGTATAAAAACCGGAATGTCCAACTGATAAGGCTGAAAAATTTTTCACTTGTTATTTACAGTAAGATAAATACATTCACCAACTTTTATTAAAATAAAACCATTTAAACTGGGTGTTCGGATTTATATGTCACTTAGTATATATTCTTTGTTATATAGATCCTCCAAATTGAGTTTGATAAACAAAGTTCGCCTATATAAAATGATTATTAGACCAGCTATTACTTATGCATGTGCGGCTTGGTGTTTTCTTGCCAAGACACATATGCAAAGTCTTCAAGTACTGCAAAGTATAACTTTGCGAATAATTTGCAACCCTCAATGGTATGTCTCAAACGAGACACTACAAAGAGACCTTGACAACCCTTACATGAGGGATTATGTCAAACTTCAGGCGCAGCGACGTTATAGTCAAGCGGAATCACACAGCAACCCTCTGTTGTGCGACTCAGTGGACTACACAGTGGAGCAAGTTCATTCAAGGCCACGGCTCGCACTGGAATCAAAAATTAGCGCGAACCTTTAGTAAACTTAAAATTACACTCTAACAAAACCGAATCAAAATTTGTTTCGTTCAGCTCAAAATTAATCCGTGTACCAAGTCTCCTCTTAAACTAAACAATTCTGTTTTTCTTTGCTGTTCTCCATTTTTCTTCCTTTTCCCTTTCTCATTTTCCTTGACATTGTCTAGTTTCTAGGCAACCAGTACTGACCGATTCGACTAACGTACATTAGACAGTGATTAATGGGCTTCGCGCTTTCTTATTACGATAGATCTACACTTTTGATAGTGTATAGTTGCTATGCTGATGAGTAGCCAAACAGCAGCCCAGTTTGGTCGGACGGACGAAAGCGGCATGTTCAGTACGAAAAAGTATGTTTCCATAATTCCTAATTACTATTTAAACATCCATCAAAGAAACGTTCGTAAGATAATTTTTTTGGTCAGAATCATCAAAAACATAAAAGAGCTTTCTCCGGAGCAAAAAAAATTAAATTTGTTTAAAAAAATTGTTTAAACAATGTTTGAGGGAACGTTGGCGACATGCAGGTTTATTAAAAGGAGTTCTTATCGAATAATGCGCAAAAAACTGAATCAAAATACCTATGCATTTTCATAATGTAGGGAACAACACCTCCACTGTCTATCCGACATTGACATTCTGACATCTGCCATGCGCTTTCGATCAATTTCTTTCGACTCACTTATAACCAAGATGGGGGGGCCACCGCAAAGATCCAGTGGACACATATCAAAGGCCAAGATAGAATGCAAAACAAAGCAGCAACTCAACGAACAACAGCAGCAAAAGAAACCCGGTTCCAAGGACTCCAACTCTAGCAATAAGATAGACTTCCGCCTAGAAGCGCCAAGGTTTATGAGAATAATCGGACCGAAACACATAGAAATCCTGTCGAGGTATATACCGAGTGCTTGTACGTATGGAGCGGTGTTATTCACAGCTTTGATATATTTTACTGACTGGAAGCCTGTTATTCGGCACATGCCATATTACCGTGGAAAACTGGAAACTGATGAGTGAAGAAAGCTGCCTGTAGCCCAGTATGATGGAAGTGCGAGGAGTGTGATATTGAATGAAGGAAATGTTTTATACGAGAGGTGTAATAAAATTCTGACAAAATGCTTTATCATATACATGCCTATAAAATACGCGATAAAATGTGACGGGAGCATTTCTAAGAATTCCTAAAGTGTCTTTTGACTTGAACTAATAGATATCAAGAGTGGTAAAATGATTACGGCACAAAATATACGGGCAGGAGCTGAATTTGTAATATGTTGTATTATGACATCATGATTAAAAGTATCCATATAGTTCCAGAGCTCTTGAAGGTCAAAGTCGAGGAACATGGCTATCTTCGCTCGTGTTTACCTTAGAATAAATCTCAGCAGAGATGAGGTGTTGTTTCGCCTTGAAAAATATATGACATTCAGTCTGGCATGAGCAACAAAAAATCGGCAGCTGCAAGAATTGTGTCAAAAATTATCGATATTGTCTGTTAGTTCTATTCTAGTTCTATCAGATGGTTGCTGTTATTGTTATATAAGATCAATAAAGAGCAAACTCTCAATGACACGGCCATCTCAAGTGGGTTGTCACTCTGACAGTGACAAGCATAGATTAGGAATACGCATACGTTCTCGAGAAAATTTTCGAGGTGGCGAGACGAAGGTAAATAACTTATGTCCTGAGCCTTCAAAGGAAAACGTTCGCGCATAGAGGCAGACTGCATTTGTATGTGTGAGGGAGATGGATGTATAGAGGTGATGCCGATATTTTGAGGGTGACCCAACTAAAAGCGTGAAACTATATGTTATGAGTTAAAGCTAGCTTTGCTTTTTTTATACTCTAACTACCACGAAAGCCTCAGTCCTAAACACCCATTGGGTACCGTGGGGCTATAGGAGGATACAGGGGAGAGGGGGAATGCCACACGGACTCTGGCGAGGGAACACGTGTGCATGCAACATGCACACATTCTGGCTCCGCGTACGAGATCTGCCGGGTGGTACCTCCGCGTTCGACAGTCAGAGACCGTCTACCACCTACGGACAATCGCAACGTCCATAGCCAAGAGAAAAAGTTCTCCTGGGACGGGATTCGAACCCGCGCTGCGCAACGCGACTGATCAGGAGACCGAAGAGTCTAGTACTGCGGCCACCGTGGCCGTGACTTTGAAGTTGAGTCATTAATTTTCAGATAATGATTGTAGAAGGAAGATAAACCAAAATGTGCGTGTAAAAATGAAACAAAAATTGCTTACCATGTTTTATAAAGTATCCTCCCGGCAAGTATTCCAGTGCGGACCTGTATTTCATTGTGCGGTCTTGGAGCACCGGCATGCGCTCCCCTGTGAGGTCTTAAGTCACCTGATTCACGAGCCCGTTGTACTACATTAACAAGGCACGAGGCGTTGGTTGCACTCGATTGGCAAACCGATCCGCATAAATACGTGCCATTTTTTATTTCATTTGAGCCACGCAGCAAACACCACTATTCACTCACGCGTTACCGACTGACACATTGACTGAATAAAAACATCGTGATCAGCGTTTCAAATTCTTTCGCTTTTTTGTTTCCGATGCGATGGACCGATAAGGCGGAGTATATCCGAGCACATAATATTATTATTGAGACAGGGCGGTACTCAAACTTCTAAAGGGCTATAACTTTGTTACTTTAATTTTACCACAAAATTGTTAAAGGAAAAAAACATTTCTTTTAATCAGATCTACTCACTGTTAAAATAAATGACTCAACTTCGAAGTCACCCTGTATAAAGGATTTTTGCAAAAAGGAATGGACGAACACTTCCATATTGAATATGCACGTCAATTAATCTTTATAATCAATGGTTGTTATTACCAAGATAAGTGATTACACGAAAAATGTATAAGCAAAAACTCCAAACCATATAATAAATTTCAACTACATTAATTTTTCGGCTTTAATACGTAGGTATGAGTTCTTGATTAAGCTACGATTTGACTTGTACAGGGTAAAGCAAAATGATGTTTCATGACTCCAACTTTGAGTCACTCGGTGGTGTGACTCCAGTTGCCAATCAGACCGTAATGAAAACCTCATTTTCTCTATAATCTGTTTTTTAGTCACGTTAATATATAAAATGATTGAAGTTTTTTAGGCAAAAGAACATTTTACCAACAATTTTCCTTCTTCATCTCATAACTTTTGTGAGTCCCGTACGAGCTTGAAAACTTTTTCATCAATTTGTACAGAAATCTATTAGCCTTCTGCGTTAGGTTCAATTCTTCCATATCGGCATTGCTTCCATTTATCAACAGTGGCGAAGAAAAATGTAAGCTTTCGACATCATTGTACCTATGATTCACGAAAAATCAATGAAATCGAGCTTAAAATAAGAAAGTTATGACGTTCCAAAATTGAACAAAATTTTGCTTGTTGCGTTTATTTGGAACCTGAGTGTACTTTCCTGACAAAGAACAGAATTCGCTTTCGAATAACACTATTAACGAGGATACCATATGCGTACAATGTAGTGCAAATTCAGTTCCACTATATCCCTCCCCGTATATTTCGTACCATATCCTTCAATTATCTGAAAAACATCTTTTGTGATTATAATTGAGACTTGAAACGTCAGATTCCTTTATATATGTGAAGGGTGTCCGAGTTGGTACTTTAGCAATTTTGAAGACCCGAGTTCTGAATTAGGGATCGTTTTCGACTGCGGCACGCATCAGAATCGTAACATAATTCTAAGAACTATCCACAATTTTCCATTAAAGTTGCGATGATGATAAATGTTCAAGATGAGGGGTACCATAAATATGAAGCTTTTATATCCTCAGTAGACAGTAGCACCTCGAAAAAACGCCTTTTTCCACAATTGACTGTCTCAAATGCTATTTTCTTGAGAACCCGATTCCATCAATAAATTTGTTTTCGAGTAAAAATTAACTATTTTATGATTTTTTTAAAACCGTCCATCCTCTCTGCCGCACCCTGTATTATTTATAAAACAGCACAACCATGCTTCTACATACCGGTAATACTAACAAACGTGATATTTTCCCAAGATTGATAGTCCCAAAGTACATTTAAATATAAAACTGTTACAGGAATTACTTGGAAAATAGTTGATATGATGACATTTTTTTTACAGAAGATCTCGCGACACATATACCTAAAGAAGAGCTCGATAAGAGTGGGATGTCTACATGTGAGAGAACCTGATAGATCGACAAAGCTCGGTATACATATTTACGACGGATCGTAGCTTCACCTATAGTTTCAAAAGATAAGTCACTAGCATACGTATAAACTGAAACGATAAATTAAAGTTGGATGTATTCTTGGTCATCCATGGAAAGCATGGAGATGTGTAATTAGACAGCAGAAAATTCCATTACATTCAGTTTTAATTTGAAAATCAAAATAAATCAGACTGTCTGTGTCATTGTATATCAGTCATACAATTTTCGGTAGCTCTTGTTATATAGCCGCTATGCTAACTTGAACGATAGCACATTCACTAAGCTGTCGTACGACATACAAAAACAAAATATACATCGCAAGCTAGATGTATAATGACAACTATTTTTTTCAAAGAAATCAAGGTCACATTAGTTAGTACGCCTGTAGTGTGATTGCTAGATAATAGTTTGATCATGCAATCGAGTAACGGTATCTAGTTAAAATTAGTTAGGTATATCCAATTCATGCTGTAATTACCAAAGTTTCGTGTTCGCATCGGTAGTAAAGCTGTTGATGCATGTCCAACACACCTACAGTTTAGATGGCTGAATTAAAGGATACATCCATTTAATCGCATGAATTTTGAGCAACTATTGTAGATACATTGCAAAATAGGCAATTGAGAATATTAAAATGGCAAAAAGACTTACGGTTTTCGAAAGCCCTGCAATAAAAAGCAATACAGATAATACTGATCTTAAGGATAACGCTTATACTCTTTACGTATATTTGATGATAAGAATGAGAATTTAAGTATGCAACGAAACAATAGATGTAGATGTCAATTCTTAAAATTATAACGTTTTCAAATAACAATGATGCCTCTCTTCAAAAGCTGAATAAGACAAATTACAAGACCTCTTTGACGCATTCATTTCGTACTTCGTACAAAAGATATTTTGCAGCTGATAATGACATAATCGTACTGAAATCAGCGTTAAATCCCTAACCTTTATCAAAAGCTATATACATGCTGATACACAAAATATGCTATATATCAAGCGCAAACGTTCTCTTTTGGAGAGAGGTATTTAAAAAGCTACAAGATGTTACCACTTTCATACAAAGTGATGTAGGATATTAGGTCAAACCTACTGTATAGTGAATTTTTTATTAGTAGACGATTTATTTATTATATTTATTGTGTTTACACGTAGCTTATTCATATATTTATACCATGTAGGATATTCGTTCTGTGTTATAATTTAGTGAGACAACGAACGTTTCGTTTTTTAGTCAAGTCATTAAATGTTTCCGGAATGTGACAGATATACAAGTATATTTTTGAAAGTGAACATATTTTGATAGGAATTTTTAAAAAATCGGAATATGAGATGGGAACATTAAATGGCTTTTGCACTGATTTTTTATGTGTGGAAACGAGTTAAATATTGACAAGAAGGTATAAAGCAACATTCAGATTAAAGCAAACAAAATGGCATTGTCAGTTTCAGTTTTCGTACCGTATTAACGAGTCTTAACATGACGAAAAAAGTCATTATTAAATTTGGCTTGATCATAAAATCGAAATTGTTTAGGTTCACGTTTTCGGAGCATCTGAACGAAATTGATCTCTCAAATGAAATAAATGAATGGGACCAAAAGTACATTATTTCATCACCTGGATCTTTTCTGAAGAATTTTCTCTGAATATACGTACGGCATTTCGCGTGTAATATGTTTGTGCGAAAGACCTTTACACTTTCTGCATTTAAATAATATTTTCCTCGACAATTTTTAATTCGTTTTCCTTTAAACGTCTAGTCATTACGTGTGGTGGCCATGTATAGTATATAATTTGCAAGGCACGTTTTTATACGTATACGTATATATTTATTAAAATGAAACAGAATTTTTCGAAGCATGCATACCCTATTCCAGTGAATATACAAGTCAAATAATTGGTGTACATACTCTTTAAACTTTACAGTTACAAAGAAAAACAGTTTATAACATTTTTAGATTCTAATAGTGATTAAATAGGATTTATAAACTGCAGGGTAAATGGATTGAATCGAGATATTTATATGTACCTGCATTAATGGAATGATGATCCAGAAATCATTATAGGTGTACAAGTGTCATCTGTCTTCCTTTGGTAATAGTGCAGGTAGTGTCTTCGCAGCTGAAGGAAAATATATATATATTATGATTGTTGTCATAATCCTATTTGACAAATTTGCTTGTTAAGAAGCCCACAATCGCGTCAAAAATTTAATTAAACATTTTTTCTAGCAAGGTCAATGTAAAGGTCAAGGAGATGTTATATGTCAAGGGCATTGTCAGGGTTGTTGTCAAGGTAATTTTCAACTTCGCGATCAACGTCATTGTCAATATCAAAGTCAACTTTGGTTGATCCCCATAAACCTCACAACTATTTTGTCGAACATGCTTCGCTAGAGCAAATTGTTTTCGATGTCTTGATTTAACATCGAAATGGCTTTGAAGGCCATGGACAAGGTCATAGCCGAAGTGATATTTGGACGTAACATTTTCCTCATTTCGTCAACTGAAAAATCTACATGACCTTGAAATGATCTTGAACGTCGAGGCCTAGTTCATTGTCAAGGTCACCATCGTTTTGCTTCCTCGAAACCCTACAGCTTTAGTTTTTTTTATTCAATGCGCAGTTTTCGAAATACGTAGGTGGGGAGACTAGTATATATAATAACTCAAGAATAACTTTCTTTGAATTTTTTTGTTTAGGAGTTATACTCCGTCCTCACACTGTTGTCACATCATGTACCCAACAAAAACTCCATTACGTTGCGATTGATAGGTTTTTTGTCAGTGACGCTGTGTACTATTTAAATTCGAACTTCGAACCTTTTTTTATTGGTCTTTAATTTGAGGGTGATGTTCTCCCGAACAGCTCTAGAAAATGTGCGTAGCAATACAATATGCAGTGGCACGATATTGGCGCTAAGGACTACTGAGTAACTTATCAGTGGAAAGCATCTCGGAATGAACAGGTTGAACGTGTGGAACAGTTTTTCTGGATAGTATTTAGTTGGTAGAGAACAACAACGGACACTTTTGTCTTGATTGTTACAGCGAGAAAAGGTACCTTTAGGGATTCGAAAACGGTTATACTGATGCCAAATTAAGTTAAATTACCTTAGGGGTTTGATGACCAAAGATATTTTTTCTTCCTCTGTTCGCCTACTTCACATTTATTTGTAATTTTTATTTAATTGCCCAATTTGTATACTTTAAAACAGAATAAACACCAAGCCAACGTATTGAATCCCAATTAAATTATCCATTCGAGTCGCAAAAATATAGCTTTTTATAGGAAAAAAAAACATAATAGCATAATGAAAATAAGTGTGTTTAGCCATATATATTTGGGATCAGGAAAGTAGCGATCATTTTCGCTAAAAATATAGAGGGTGTTCCATTCAAGGAAATACAACCTCATTTGGAATCACTTTTCTGAGGCAAAAAAGTGGCGTCAAGTTGGTTGACTCCGGACTTCTCACACAACGTTGTCAACAGTTCTTTAAGGATTATGTTGCTGATGAGTTTCCAAAAAAGTACGAAATAGCAGTCCATGATAGACTGTCTTCGGTCGACAACAGCATGTTTAAATGAATCCTCTTAAAATTGCAATATAACCTCACTCACCCTCCCCCGTAATCTATATAGCCTTTTCATCCTTGGCATAGTGGAAATTTCATCGTAATCCGGGTAGTACATTCCTAGTCATAAATGATCCAAGGATTAGCGGACAGACAGACCGACAAACTGACGGAACTGAGTGGCATAGGTGACGGTATTTCTTGATAAATACTCAAAAAACATAATATGCCATTTTCCGAGATGTCTCGCTAGGCAGTAGCCGTGGGAAGTGAAGGACATCGCACTAAAAATCTTATATTAAACATTTTTGTATAGTACTTTTTTAATAAACGGTCATACAAAGAACTAGGGTCACTTTGTAGAGGGATACCCCGTGTAGAGGAAAAAATTGCACTGTACTATAAAACCTTCATTAATTTTAATTTTCAGCTTTGAATGCTCGCTCTAGCGTCGTATTTTCACAAAAGGCGGCTCTGCTATAAAACGTATATTCTCAGAATATGACGATTCAATTCAATTACGTGTAAAGGGTGATATTTATGAGGCAGGTAACTGAATTACGGTGGATATTTTTGTGTATTCATGTGCCTACAGGTGTTTTATTGATGAATACGAGCTTGTAACCGAGAACATCATCAGTGGGCAATGTGATATTTTTTTCATTTAGCGGTTATTCTACAGGGCGCTCCAAATCAAATTAATCTATTTAAAATGGTCATAAAAAAGGTATCTGGATGTACAGAAAAAAACATTAATTTAAGGGTGGGCAGTTTTACATTTACCAAAGTAGAAATGTAGCTTTCGTTGTACTGACTTATTTCTACATGTATCAAGGTTTGAATATAACGTCTCCGCTCTCTAATATCTCCATTAGGGTGTGAAGAGGATCGCTCATTGCCCAAGTGCCTTTTTCCTCCCCAGAGAAGGAATTCGCATTTGCTCAAATCGGTAACCGTGCAGGCCACTCCCCACCACCTTTCAAGGAGTCATCCAGCAAACATTTCTCTCAAAACATGTATTGAACGTTGGGGTATGTGAGCAGTAGCCTCATCTAATCCCAACCCTAATAGGAAAACCTTGTTGAGAAATAGGGATGAGGCACGGAGCTACAACTCACAGCTGAAAGGCGATGTGTTGACCTGTGCGTATACCTGATTTTTTCAGCTGTGACTTGTTATTCTGAGAATATTTCGAAAAAATTAGGTTGCTTTTCACTTTTTACGCACCCTGTCATTATTTCATGAAGGATTATATTCGGCACCACTTAGCATCTCCTAGACAAACATGTACCGTGAACACGTATAACAAAGGAATTAAATGGATCTTGTCAGTCAAACCGGCTCAGTTCATACCCCACAGATTTGACAACATTGCGACCTAACCTACCGCCCTACCGACAGTATCGACCACCCAGCTACGTGGCAACCCAGCACGGCATTGTATGAACGAATACACGCATCATCATTCCGTATTCACTCACGCTGAGTTCTCATTCAGTATTCTCCACGAAGATTAATACACATCTGCATGCGCTCGAACCAATTTTCGAAGCACTTATTCCACTCGTTTGCTGGCAGATCCAAAAGGGCATTTTTGAATGCGTCAACTGCTTCTCCTGGTGACTGGAACCTTTGACCACGCAGTCTGTTTTTAATTTTCGGGAAAGTAATGAAATCGTTAGAACTTAGATCGGGACTATATGGAGGATGGTCCAATAATTCCACGTTTTCTTCCGTTAAATACTGCCTTGTTTTTTGAGCTGTGTGCGAGCTTGCATTGCCTTGGTGGAGGATGATTCTTCGTTCGGGGTTGACTTTTCAAAGCTCTGTGACGACTTTTGGCAAACAAATGGTGGTATACCAATCCGCAGTAACAGTTCTTTGCTCATTAAGAGGAATCGCTGCAATATCACCCGCTTTTGACACAAATGTCGCGACCATTTTTTTTGAAACACTTCGAGAACGGATGACTTTTGTTGGCTTTTCTTCTTCTTGGAACACCCAAACAACCGACTGTCGTTTATTTTCTAGTTCATAACAGTAAATCCACGATTCATCACCACTAACAATGCTGTACACATTTTTTGAGTTTCCGGAATTGAAACGGTCAAGCGTTTTTTGACAGCAATTAACCCTGGCTGCTTTCTGCTTTTCACTCAATGAGAAACTAATTTTCTTACTCCTAATTCTTCATTTTTTGAAATGAGGTCTTTGAGATCTTCAAGGACGCCTCAATGGTGAGTTTGCGCACAGCATCGACGTTTTCCTGGGTGACTGTCGTTTTTGGTGCACCCACCCTGGGATCGTCGCTAAGACTCACCCGTCCAAGTTTGAATTCTCCATACCAACGGGAAATTGTCGACTGATGTGGCGCTTCGTTGCCGAAAACAGACAGTAACTCAGCAAGGCATCCTTGTTGCGATAATTGTCTCTGAAAGTTGTAATAAATTATGGCGCAAAAATGTTCTCGGTTGAGTTTCATTTTTCTAATGACTTGGTGACACTTAAAAATTCACTGTAGCGTATTGTTGTGAAACTTTGAATCGATCCGCGCGTCCTACTATGTTTCTATATGCAAAACTTAAAAGACCTCCCTCGTAAACTGCTTACTCCGAAATTGATAACTCCTTTCTATATATACGGATAGCTTCCTTATAACCCTTTGCTTTGCTTAGTTACTTATATCGGACCCTGTATTTCTCTACCGGTACTCTACGAAACTTGACTATACTAGGTTTCTCAAAGAGTTGCTAAGGTTAAACGTACGGGTAAATCTGTGATTTATTAAATATGTCTAATAGGTGCCTAAGATAATTGAGGCTGGAAACGGGTAAATTGCTACCACCAAAAAAAGTGAGATTCCTTAGCCCACGCCCTACGACTCCCAATATTAAATTTTTAACATCAGCAAACATTTTTCCGAAAATGATCAGAATCGTGTGAAATGTCGAAATAGAGGAAGCTTTAGCGATATTTTTTTTCATTTTTGGCCTGTTTCAAAGTCGCCACTAAACCGATCTTCAAAAAGTACAATGCTTGCTTTTCCTTGGAACAGTAGTAACCTTGTGTGAAAATCCGAGCGAAATTATAGATACGAGTAGTGCCGACGGAAATGAGTGGCTTTGTTTTTTGTGATATATAACATCCAAAAAACAACATATCTTGTTTTAGAACGTTTTCACTATTACAATACTTCCACAGCAATGGCGTAGGAACTAAAAGGCATAACATCCTCCTCACACTTGATAAAAGTAAAATGGTATAAACTGCTTACTCCGAAATTGATAACTCTTTTCTATATATACGGATAGCTTTCTT